GGGTGTTTCAACTTTCAGTTCAACATAAAAATAAAAAATAAAAAATATATGCTGTGCGCACCTGGCACATATGCGGCCCGGCAGCGCGCACCCCCCAGCGCACCCGCACTCGGCGCACCAGCCCTGTGCGCAGCGCATCGCGCACCGTGCACCCAGGTGCGCGCGCACCTCGGGTCCACGCACCGCGCAGCGCACAGGGTCGATGCGCCGCAAGTATGGTTTTGATGCATGATTTGACTTTAATCGTAAGTTTTCATCATTCACACAACTGACGGGATCACAACACAATGCTCAGTGAAGTTCATTCATCTCCATTTAATGCCTGCTTCATTCCTTGCCAACCAGACTTCATCATTTGAGAGGCGAACCCAGAAAGACCTCAGCGCCCCTGAAAAAGTTTGCAATGACCTTATCACTCTCCCATAAATGCATGCCAGGTGAGCAATGCAGGTCTGGTGCCTGTGAATGTACCTTGGGCATTGGGAGTAATAGTGGAACCATCCCTCGCTCACCTGGCATTGGAGTGTAACCATCTTCCATAGTCATTTCAAACAAATAGCTCTTTTTCTCTGCTGCTGGAATCCAAACAGCAACGGTTCGACCTGCACGTCTGATGTTCCCATTTGCATATCCAACCTGCGGACATCAAAATCCGCTCTGCATGTAAGCACTGTGGAACAGCCGAGTCGGCCACATCACTGCACACAATCAACATGACTTAATTTACAGGTTCGTGAGAGGATCGGAGTGTGCCAAAAGCATTGTTTGCGGCTTCAGTGCAATAGCTGGTCAAAAGAGGGCAGGGTTGAGTGCCATTCTGAGCTCTGGCATTGCACAAGGTTTCAGGCCACAGCCAGGTGTGTTGCCGCTGGGTTCTCTGGATCATTTCAGGGGGGGGGGTCAGATAGCACGCCATGAGTAAGATTCCCTCGGGCTGTTGCTCCCGAGCACATGACAGCGGGGGTTCAGACTCTTCAGAGTGAATTAGAGAGCAGTGCTCCTGGCGTTGCACAAAAGCTGCAAGGCTGTGGGTGGTTCCGGGCCCATGTGTCTGTTATGTAGATCTGTTATACTTGTGCAAGTGTGCCGCTCTGGCGGCAGACGGGTGTGTGGGCACTTGGCACTTAATCTAACAAACATGGCCAACCTTGCATCTTCTACTGTATTGCCTATTTATACTTCTTTCGTTGTATGGATGGTTTGTGATGATCTGTGGATGGAATGAGAGAGAGAGTTTGGGTTCTTTGAACGCACACACACACACACACACGCACACGCAAGCCCCTCCCCCCCCACAGACACACACACACAAAGAAGTGAAAAATAGTTTAAAAACTAAGGCTCGAGCGAAAATGGAAGTCAACCATGATGATTGCAAAAATCAAGTCGTAGGGGGAAAATAGGACACCCATATGGGTACCCAGCCTATGTTGCTCAATGGTACGCACCCATGTCAAGCAGACCAAAGTTTTGAGTTCTGATGGAGTCTGATGGATAATATAACTCGGAATTACCTTGCCTCTGTGTAGGCTGAAGGCCACAGTTCTATAATTGGACTCTTGGTGGAATGGACCACTTCGTGTTTGCAACTCTTTTTCATCGAATGAGATAGAACTGGCGCTGCTGCCACGTCATGGCCTTGGACATGTAAGAGTCGTACAAAACCCAATTGTTTCGGTATTCCTTACCATGAAAACCAAGCCAAGTTTGCTTCTCAGGGAAGTACTTATGCTTGATTCTTTGTCGACCCCATTAGCCTACAAAAAAAAATCTATCATTTTTCTTTTCACTTTACTTTCTCCTTTTAACCATCTGTTTTTAAAACTTTTTTTAGCATTTTGTTTTGATATGTTTCTTCTGATTTCTCTATTTATACTGTCCGAAAAGAAAAATCATAATCGAGAAGTTCTGGCATCAATGTTTTTCTTTTTGTGATCGGGCCATTAGGAACGAGCCTTCCTGGAAGAGGGAATTCTTTGTCATATTAAATCAAGTGAAGCTCATGGAAACACACATTTTTGTATTTAAGACATCGTCGGTGTTGGATATAAAGCTAGTACTAATCCACAGGGCCCCATGCTTCTCTTGACATTAGGATTCAGTAACAACGAGACCCTCCTGAAGCGACCGACCACGCTGAGCCTTTTTGGTAGGGGAGTCAATGCTAGCCTGGAGAGGATAATGAAGCCGACACAAAAGCTTTCCGGTATAGAATAGCCAACACAATTTCGTGGTCAGAAATTGCGTTCCCAATATACGTCATGACCGATTGTGTATCACGATCTGCCCAATCAGCACTAATTCGGGGGTGCCTCGCTCGCAGGACGATGTGGTGTGTAAAATTGTAAATCCACTAGGGCTATGTGGATATGGGAGCTCCGAAACCATGGTAACCGACCGGACGTCCGGACTGGTTTCCAGACACCCCCAAACATTATGTAGGGGTCCGGTGTCCGGTCCTGGACGTCTGGAACGGCCCCCCCCCCATGAAAAATCAAACAAAAAAGGGGCCGCCAAGGACGTTTTTCGGGTCCTCGTCGGCCCCGGAAAAATAGTAGGCCGATTTTTTTGTTTGTTTTTGCCCTACCGGACACAGGTCGAAGGCCGGACCCACCACAGTCTGTGCAGACT